TGAAATAAACAAATACATTTACTGGCGTTATAGATTGGGCAACTGTGAGCAATATATAGAATTAAACCGACTCACTCGGGGGGCGATGAGGGGCATCACCTGGGTGAATATGCTATGGCAGAAGCAAAAATAATTAAAGCATTTATAATGATAACACGAAGCTTTCTTATTTCCTGGCACTTGACTCTATGACATGGTTCATTTGTCTTTGCAACTTGATTGTACGTGCGCTGAATTATACCTGATTACACCGTCAAAGTATGCAATATGTGAATACGAGCGAAGAGTCCAGTGTGGGATTGTGTTTCGCGAGACCGCCCACTGTTGGCGGCCCTAACCTTAGACCATGTTTTTCTGTTGAGAGACTGGTACCATGGCGCTGACAGTGCCAAAGTCGATTTCCAGCTCGGTAAAGTTCGGTGCAGGCGCAGGCGCAGTGAGACAAGAATGGTAGAAGAAGAATGTGGTGCTATTGTAACGAATGAACTTATACGTACTTTATTGTGGCTCTCGCGGTCCTTTTTGGAAACTCGATCGCTGTCGTTTAGGGTTGCTATTGGAAACCGATCTGCAATATAGCACAGTACGTGTAAGTGAACGATGATCCTCGAGACCCTGGCTGCCTAGCAGGTCGTTGCCCCCCACAGAGCATTGCTGAAGTGGGGATGTCACTAGTAAAAACGCTCCCTGAAAGCCAGGGCTAGAACTAAGAACTTGGAAGTGCCATCTGGATTGCGGTATTGTATTCAGAAGTCACCGGCCCGAATAAATCTTTGTGTGTATTTGGGTTAGAAAGGAGCAATCTGACAACCTTATGAAAAGGCTCCTTCCGGCTATTATGGGCACCATCTTTCCCCTCGCTGGAGGCTGAAAAGAGCTGCAGCTAACATATGTGCATCTGGTCATATACTTACATAGTCCTTGGGCAACACAACCCAAATCGGGACCAATATATTTCCACTACGTAAAGGCGTGGAGTCTCATGATCCAACTGAAAACCGATAATCTCGATCATGTCCGCAGCGTGGGCTGATTCCACAGCTTCGTTGGCCACAGTAATACGCGGCACTGTCGCATGGTGATTGACCCAGGCAGCAAGGCGCCTGAATTGCAGAGACTCAATTCCCGGGCATCATTGGGCAGTCGTTGGCCCGGATGGATGGTGCATGTGGGGTTCTAGTCCCCGAGCTGCTTAGCACGTCTCTGACTAGTGGCCCACCTCTGAAAGCTGATTCGCTGCTTGTGCAAGTAATGACGAATATCAATAGCTTCTCTCACAACCCCAGTGCTCAGCAAGCTCTCCAACGTATGGTTTCAGAGCCAGACACGGGGGTTTACCCGGCGATGTTACGCAGGCGCTTGGATGACTTAAGACATCCTATGGGATGGGAGACATTCATTAGCAAAATCTAGGAAGGAATCAGACATTCCCCGGTGCTCGCGTAGTGGTTTCCAATCCAAGAAAGCAGTCATTGATTGATCTGGGCTGTTTGAAGATGGTCCCACGCACAACTGCCTCCTTGGGGCGACAGGATCTTCATAGGCACCCTCCGAATGACCAGTTACCGCTTAACGTTCATGCGCCTCTCAGGACTGTTAAGCGAGAAGGCATTGCTGGATATCCCAGTTTGCCAGCTTTCCATTCGACCCCCTCCCAGCTCTTCACCAGTTATTCCCTGAGCTGGCTGTTTAGACGTCACACTTTCACTGGACTTCCCCGCAAATGCCATGCAAATGCATATACATAAACCCCACTTATAATTGTGTGCACGCGATCTTGCGTAGTAGAGTAGGACCACTTACTAGACGAATTTAAATATCTATGAAACTTGGGCTTTTGCAAACTGCCTTTACCCCTTAGCTTTTCTTCCGTAAGACGCCACAGCCAATCTCACGTTGAACGATCGCTTCCTGACTTTGCGGAACCATTTTCGAACGAAGACAATATGGATCGCTTTCATCAGAGTAAGTTATAACCCTCCGACCTTTAGTTTGTCAACAGCACTCCGAACCCGCCTGCGCTGCTGTGTGATCCGATTTGTCGTGTCTTGGGCTGATTACCAATTTTCCAGTCAACCCGTTCGCCAAGCGCGACTCTCATAGCAAGAACTCGGTGATCATCTACAAGATTTTGACCATCCTCACCTGGATCTTGTCCATCATCGTTACCGTCTACTATACCTTTCGGCGACCTGAAGATGGCCCTTGGCCGAGACACACCATCTGGTGGCAGAACAGCCACCACCACACGGCTTTCACTATGAATAGCACCATCGCCAGCATCTACTGGTAAGCAAACACGTCTTTCCCCCCTTTGGATACCTATGCTCGGAGATCCTCCCAGCTCTGTTTCTTTCTGCAATTATCTAATATGAGCTGTAGGCTTGTGCTTTTCATCCTCCAAGGCGTTTACATTGCTCATCTATTTTCCGGTGATGTCGAGAGGCTTAATTCCGCATGTGCAGTGGGCAGCCACTTCATTCTGAACAACCTCTTCCACTTCGCCTTTGTCGTTCTTTTCGTTCGCAGTTACTTTGGTTGGGCCGAGCTCTTGATCATTGTCAACTTTTTCAATCTCACCTCGTTGTACTTCCGCCATCCCGGATACTCGCGAATCATTCACGAGGCTGTAGTGTCTGGACCCCTCGCGTGGACTTTTGTCGCTATCTACTGGAACGGGGCCATTATGGTTCCGCATGCTGCTTCGTTGGTAGCCAGAATCTTCGGAAATATCTTTATCTGGTCTATTTTGGCGTACGGATTGTTCTACATCATTGTGTACAAGGTCAGTTATTCATTCCGCTGTGCGCATCTTCCCACAACTAACTTCGTCACTAGGATTACACTATTGGATTCAACTTGAGCGTTCTGTCTGCTGCCATTGGTGTAGGCCAATTCTTCAGGCAGATCATTGCATTCCAATGGATCTTTGCCTTTACTATCATGGCTGTGCTTTTCGTTTCCACGATCGTGATAGCTATCCCGGCCGCTACTGGGCGCGATTTTGGCTGGCGAAGACAGACTGATGCTGAGCGGGCTCCCCTCCTTGAAGAACATTAAACAACGCTGATACACACCACTTCATTCGCAATCGAACGGTAATCACTTCGTATTCTTAACTATAAGTTGCCCGCCTCGGTGAAAAAAGGCTTGAGAAGAGAGACTTTCCATCGTCGTTATTGTTTTCGTTCATCGCCGCTCGTCCCTGTTAGGTTCTTCGTTCTAGGAGATATCTGTACCTGTGTTTTTTTTTCTTTCCGCTTCATTGTTTGCAGGTTCGGCGTTCCTAATCTCTTCCGAGTTTTCCAGACTGCAGGGTTACCCTCCAGAGTTTGAGACGAATGTGTTTCTTTCCCAACGCTGAGATAGATATCTAGGAGATAATTCCAAAATAAATGCAATCAAAAATGCGTGCCTATGGAAAGTAGAAGTTTCTTGATGACGTCGATGTGTTTACCCTTGTACGCTTATCGCGTTAGTGGGGCGATTGATAGCGATAACGCTTAGATAGTCCGACCACCGTATGTACATTGGTTGAAGCTGGAGATTTCGGGTCAAAGCTGTTAGAGGCCGAGCTCTCAAAGCATAATAAGCCATCTTCCAACCTACGTGGTTCTAATGACTTGCAGGCTCAAAAATGAGCCTCCCACGCGCAATATTTCCTTCATTAGGTCTCGGCAACGATATATGTCACGTACCGCGAATATATAGCATTTTGACTTCGCAGCGGGGACACCGATTCGTTGCACGCATCCTCACGGCGCGCGAGCTCCAGGTCCCTCGCGCCAAGCGTATTCTTAACTGTCTCGCTCAGGGGGCCGAGGCAGAACCAGTGAAGCGTTCCGGTGCCGCTGCCGAGCGCAAGGACCCGAATTTCTGGAAGGCGGCAGAGTTCATAGCCGGCCGGTAAGATCTGTGGTCGACGCATGGCACCTCCTTTGTTTGTAGTCTTATCTGATGTTTGAACGGACAGGTTCGCAGCCAAGGAGGCGACCATTAAGGCTTTCCACCAACGGAGATTGTCATTCCATGATATAGAGGTGTTGAGCCGAGAGGCGGAACCCTCGCTCGGAGCGGGAGGTCCTGGTGAGGCTTCAGAGAGTGGTTGGGCTACACACTCTAGTGGTCCACCAGTACTCGTCATTCAGGACCAACCAGAGACGACGGCTTGCCTGAGTATTAGTCATGATGGAGACTATGCCTCTGCCGTCTGCATATATCTGCCTCAAGCATCGATGCCTACCAATGAATCTCAGCAATAGAGATAGAACGCTTCAGATGATACCCCAAATGGTATGTTACCATTGATTGCCGATGCAGCTCATTCCGCAACAGCTCACATAGTTTGTGAAGGTGCCATCTTTCCCCAACTATGGCAATGCTTCTGTATTTTATCATGTACAAAATTTATAGCCTCATAGTTGCAGGATCGTGTTCTCAATCAAGTAGTGCCTCCAACACATGGATGATGCCGTGCCAGCATCTGACATAGTGTATTGTCATGTGGTACCAAGGTTGCCTACTTAACTGTACGATACAGACCAGGAGCCGTTGTATAGACATACTACAAAGGGTGGTCATATGTCAAAATATATTGAAATCATGTTTGGGCAACCAAAATATTTGTTCATATCAATTTTGTTGGACTTTGTTCTTCGCTGTGAAGATATAACTGTTAGGAATTGTACATTGTACACAATCAAAAGAGTAAGTTCTCTTCGTTGAATCTCTGGTATCCAAGGGACTACCGGAATTTTGAAACAGGAGACAGAGAGCAGTAAGCGATATCTCTGTTGATTTGAAAACAGTTGACAACGTTGTCAATTCAATTCTTATCGCAAAATGATCATCCGCATGTCTCACAGGCGAAGTCACTTAGGCATCCAAGAAATATGGGTAAAAGTCGGTTCATGTCAAAATTGTGGTCTTTCATCTGTATTAGTGTGAATTAAGCTCGTTGTCCAACCAAACCAGCGGAACAAGTCTCTTCCGAGCTTGATGACTGCTTGGCGCAATGGTAGCGCGTGGATCTCCTATTGTTCTTGAACAAAAGTCCAAGGTTGCGGGTTCGAGTCCCGTGGTGGTCGCTAATTATACCATTGAATCCTGATCACAGGATTTCATTGATCTTTTTTTTCTCGTCTCTTTTTCTTTTTTTTATCTTCCATTTTTGTGTTGCTTGTTCAATGCACACGGTCATTTCATGCATTAATTTTTTTTTCTTTGTGGAATGCGCCGTTGTTCATATAGATGTTGGTAACCGCCGCAACTAGAATTAGCTACGTAGGCGCTATGCCGACAATACCTCACCTTCATGTGCTGCATGCTCGAATTTCTTGTCTGGTCATTCATACCTGGCTCTATAAGTGGACTCCTTCACATATGAGCGGATCAGTTCTCTCAATAGCTTTGGCAGAATGAATCATATTCAGTACCCTGGCGCTTGCATCTTTGCGAGCACTTAAGACGTAGAAATATTATCTTGTGACAGCATTTGAAGTTACCGTTACTCACAATGGAGTTAATGAGCTCCTCGGTGCAATTGAATACTGCCGGTGGTGTACCTATAGTGAACTTAAGAGTGGTGCGATCTTTGACTGGTTAAAATTGGGGTTGTCAGTTAAGAGGCGAGCTGCACTGGGCCGGCGCTGGCCCGGGTCGGTCCACTAAAAATTCCCAGAGTCGCGTCTGCATGCGCAGGTGCATCGCATCATTCTTCTCATGGACCTTCGGCTTCTACCACCTCCAAACACCAAGCACACAAACCTGCATTGATATACGTACAAGAGACTACGACCTTTCCAAGGAAGAGTCGCAACCATGGCGACCGAAATTGATGGTCAGAAACGGGATTCCATGTCCACCTCAACCCTCAATCCACCACCGACAGGTGCCAACTCGCTGCCCCAGAAGCGGGTGTTGGAGGACGACCACAGCCCAGCTGTTTCCTCACCTCTCAACCCCAACCCGGACATAAAACCAGTCAAGACCCAGTCGCATGATGATGTACCTGCTATGGCCAGAGAAAAGCGGGCCAAGAAGGAATCGCTCAAGAAGCGCGAGTCCAAAGGCGTCTCCGGCGCAGACAGCTCACGAGCCACTCCAGACCCGAAGCACAAGGAGCCTCCGCTGAACGAGGCATCGCCATTGAGATACAAGCTTGCGCCTCCCAAGCCTTCAGATTTCGAAGTGGCACGGGGGCCTGTTTTTGTTCCCCATCACGATATAACTACCCCCGATGGATCCAAGGTCGAGTTCTTTGAGACATCGGAACAGTAAGTTGACCAACTTTCGCGGATGAGATAGATACCCTTTCCAAGTGGGAAACCACCAGTCCTGACTATTTCACAGCGTATATAATAAAAAAAACTTCCACTACCTGCACTGTGTTGCCGATCCAGCTTTCCCTTCGTCGTTTTACTACCGTCAGACCGAACCCGAGCCTCACGGCGCCCACATAAGCTTTGAGGATGCTGCCACCCACATGTTCCTAGACCAATCAGGCCGCCATATCACAACCAATAAAGGTTTTCGAATGGCTCGGGCCAATGTGGCAATACGGCAAGGTCGGTGGTACTGGGAGTGTAAGATAACCCGAGGCACACTCAATAAGTCAGAGCCAGGGGGCAAGCTGGAGTCAAACGGACACGTGCGCATGGGATTTGCAAGGCGAGAAGCTTCACTCGACGCCCCGGTGGGATTCGATGCCTACAGTTACGGTATTCGAGATGTGGCAGGTCAGAAAGTGCACATGTCTCGACCGAAGGACTTCTTTCCCCCTGGGGAGGACATCGTCGAGGGCGATGTAATTGGCCTTGAGATCCAGTTACCCTCGGAGCAGTTACATCGGAAGGTTGTTCAAGGGCACTATAACCCTGCGATAGACTTTGCCGATGAGCCAGATCTCACGAGCGCCGAAGGCCCCAACATAGTGCGCGATCGCATCCCCATCCGCTTCAAGGCACACATATACTTTGAGAAGATAGATTATCACACCACAAAAGAGCTCGAGGATCTGATGAACCCCTCGCCGGCCGGCTCTTCCGGCTCTAGTAACAACAGCACTCCGAACCCGAACCATCCCGTTCCAGCGCTTCGCACGCTACCCAACTCTTACATTAGAGTGTATAAGAATGGCGTCCTTATGGGCACGCCATTTACGCAGCTCCTGTCGTTTCTCCCGCCCGCCTCCAGACCACAAGCCCAAGTTGGCGCCAGAGAAGGTCTAGACGACGGCATGCTTGGATACTACCCTGCCATCAGCGTTTTTCGAGGAGGTGCTGCCGAAGTCAATTTCGGTCCCAATTTCTGGTTTCCACCACCCGGGCTCAGCCCTACGTCCGACAGTGTAGAAAAAGTTCCTGAAGTCACTGGCTCCAATGGTGGAAGCGGGGGTGAGGACGTGGAGATGGGCGGCACAGATCCAGATACTGTGACGGTGGCTGCACTACCTCCGCCACAGCCGTTAGACGCAACAGCCTCCAGCGGCCCGCTACAATCCGTTGCGGAACGCTACACAGAACAGATTGTGGAAGATATCTTGGCGGATATTGTCGACGAGGTCGATTTCTGGATGCAGGATGGCGCACGAGTGGTGGATAGGACGGGCGGCCGTGACGAAAAAGTGGGCGTCGTATCTGGCGGCCCTGAGGAGATCAAGGAATTGGTTCAAGATGATTAAACCAGAAAATAAGCGTATATTATGAGGCGAACCAAAACGAGGTATTCGAGAAGGTATCGCAGGCACAGTAATCGAGATGTAGCCTGAGCAGTGGCATATACGTCTGAAAGTGTGACAGAAGCGATACGGCCACAATTCATGATGGCATGAGGCATAGAAAGCAAGGCTCACCAGGTCGCAGCTCGAAGAGGGCCACGGGTTTAATACACAGTCGACAAGACAATATGGAGGAGATTAGTCTTGATCATACATCAACATAGCACTGGCCTTCCAATATGCAGAATGTTTGAGAAGAGCACGGATGAATTTTCAGTCCAGGAAGCTTCAAGTTTCGATTTTTTATTACTGACTCCTAGTTGCCGCTTTCCACGTAGAATGGATATTTTCTGGTCTCCCATTACACAAGCAAGGATGATGCTAAACATGAATTTCCTGATATAACCCACTCGACCAGTAGGATTGTCCGGCCACCATTAATCTATTTCGTATAAAACACAAAATTTATAACCATAAAAAACCGCTTAAGGAAAAGAGAAAGAAATGAGGAGTAGAGGAAGTGGAAAGGGGTGAGAATGGGGTATCAATCATGCATCATCATGAGACTAATCTTTTTGGGGTGTTCCATCCGTTTTATAAATCATTTTTTGCTTAGCGCCGGTGTTGCCTTGCCTGACTGCGTCCTCGCCGGTCGCGGCGGTAGACCAGGTGCTGATGAAGAGCCTGCGGTCTCGGGAGCAGGAAGCTGAGGGTCGTCCGGAAGCTCCTCGATACGAACTGCGCCGTCGATGGGATCGCCTTGTTTCTCGGTGGCCTCACGCTCGAGGCGGGTCTCGCGGCCGCGCTTGTGGCAATACCACAGAGCAGATAGCAGGACTATAGGGTATTTAGCATTTGTCTTGAAGGAATAATGGTAAACTGGGAAAGTAGGCAAGAATAATAGAACTTACGGAAGAGTGCTACGCTCCATAAAACATTGGTGCCCATGAAGGCAGGCCAGCGCGTCTTCAGTGCATTCACGATGCCTTTAAGCAACCCTGCCACGGCACCCGGCTTTGTAACCAGATCCTTCAGGCTCTTCGGCGTAAGGAACGACTTGGCAGCGCCCTTGAGACCGCCCTTGCTCGCCTCGGCAGCGTTGAGGCCCTGGGCCTCGGCGGCAACGGCCAGCAGCTCGGGGGCAAGGGTGGTGGTCAGCTTGTTGGGCAGCTGGGTGACAAGCTTCTTCAGGCTCTTTGGCAGGCGCTCGTAATTGCGAGCAAGAATACCATCGCGGTCCTCGAGCAGGTTCACAAGGTCGCCATAGGCGGTTGGTACGCCGTTGACCAGGTCCTTGAGCACGACGGTGAACTTGCGCACCATCTCGGTCGACTCAGCTGACAGCGAGAAGGCTTTATTGTTGCGCGCTGCCAAGTTCATATCGTCCAGAATTCGAGAGATGTCAGTCTCCTCACGACGCGCCTCGCGCTCAGGCACGGCAAGGCGCTCTGGCTTGAGGCCGCTGTTGGCGGTGGACGGCTTCTTGGTGCGCAGGGAAATGCTGCGGCCGATGTTGGTGAGCACAGAGAAACGCTTGCTCACTGGCTTGCTTTCGGCAGTCGCCGTCGCTTTACCTTTGGCCTTGCCATCGCCAGTGGTGAGTGCCCTCCCTTCTTGGCTCTGGAAACTCTCGGCATCGCTCTCCCAAGTTATAACAGGAGTTGGAACCCTCGGGGGAAGCGGGGGTGGTGTTCCCTCATCTTCATCATTTCCTGGGGAAGGCTGGCCTGAGATGATTTTCTCGAGGAATCTCTCGTCTTCTGGGTCAAGGAGTGGAGTGCCAATGGGCTGTTCTTCAGCCTGCCCCTCCTGGGCGTCAGGTTTGGAAACAATGACGGTGGTGGGTGTAGCAGTGGATTCGGGGGACCGTGTTGTAGCAGCTTCAGCCTCTTTGGACAAACGCTCGCGTTCGGCTTTCTCAGCGCGGTGCTTCTTCACTTTCTTATACGTGAAGTAATCGAGCATACTGACGACGGAGCTGGAGAGCTGAGCAAGCGTCTGCGGGGGGGGAGGATTTCGGAGGAAGGTGTTGAAGAAATAAAGGTGGAAGAGAGGAATGGGAAGCTGGGAACTTCTAAAGCAAAGAAATAATAGCGGCCACACCAGGACCAGCCTCAAGTGTTTAGTTAAGTTAGTTATATTGGTAGCTTGGGGATGGCGAATTGACCCAAGCTTGGTTTCGGGGGACTTGGAGGCCCCTCTCGTATCCAAGCTTCTTTGCGGCGAGTTCGAGCCATTCACATGCCGCCGCCTGCTGCTAGACGATGTCATAGCATCGGTAGCTCATCCGAATGGAGTCTAGCAGTACTGCACCGCCACAGGTGGCACGAGCTAGGGGGCAGGAGGCCCCTCGTGGTCTAGACCGGGCGC